TTTTTTTTTTTTTAAGATGACCAGTAAGGGGATCTTAACCCTTGACTTGGTGTTGTCAGCACCACGCTCAGCCAGTGAGCGAACCAGCCATCCCTATATGGGATCCAAACCCGGGGCCTTGGTGTTACCAGCACCACACTCTCCCGAGTGAGCCACAGGCCAGCCCCAGAGAAGTGACTTTTGAATCAAAGTCTCCAAGGCCTTGTTCTTTTCTCTGAACCAGAAGTTGGCAAACTATGATCCTCAGACCAAATCTGGCATACTTTCTGTTTTTGTAAAGTTTTATTTGACCACAGCTGCTATGGTCTGAGTGTTTGTGTCCCTGCAAAATTTGTGTGTAGAAATCATAACCGCCAAGGGCGAGCCCATGGCTGACTTGGGAGAGTATGGTGTCGATAACACCAAGGCCACGGGTTCAGATCCCTATATATGGATGGCCGGTTAGCTCACTCGGGAGAGCGTGGTGCTGACAAAACCAAGTCAAGGGTTAAGATCCCCTTACTGGCCATCTTTAAAAAAAAAAAAAAGAAAGAAAGAAAGAAATCTTAACCCCCAAAGTGAAGGTATTAGGAAGTGTAGGGACTTTGGAAGGTGATTAGGTCATGAGGTCTCTGCTCTCATGAATGGGGTTAGTACCTGTATTAGGCTGTCTGTTGCGTGTAACAGAATACCTGAAATGGGGTAATTTGTTAAGAAACAATATTTATTGCTTACAGTTTTGGAGACTAGGAAGTCCAAAGTTCAGGCAGCACATCTGGTGAGGGCTTTGTTGGTGGGTGGTGACTCTTCACAGCAACACAGGATGTCACATGGCAGATGGGTTGAGTGAGAGACCGAGATAGAGAGAGAGAGAGAGAGAGAGAGAGAGAGATAATTCCAGAATACTTCTTTCGTGCTTTTTGTTGATATCTAGTTTCTAATATAGTAAACATATATTTCCGACCCCTAGAAAAAAGAGAGAGTGCCTTAAGCTTCTCACTCCCTGTCCTTATAAAACCATCATAAACACAATCATGACCACCATTAACCATCAGTGGACTAATCCATTCACTAGAGCATGGTCCTCATGATCTAATCACCTCTTAAAGTCTCACCTTTCAATTACCGTAATAGGATTTCCCACCTTCTTAACACTGTCACAGTGGGGATTAAGTTTCAGTGAGCTTTGGGGGAACATTCAGTCCACAGCAGTGCACTTATAAAAGACCAGAGAGAGCTAGCTTGCCTCTTCTACCATGTGAGGACACAAAAAGGTGCCATCTGTGAATCAGAAAGTGGGCCATCACCAGATTTTAAATCTGCTGGCACCTTTGTCTTGGACTTCCCAGCCTCCAAACTGTGAGAAATAAATTTCTGTCATTTATAATTTATGATATTTTGTTATAGCAGCCTTAATGGGCTAATCCATTACATGCTCATCTATTTATATATTGTCTATTTATATATTGTCTATATCTTGCTTTCATGCTACCAACAGCAGCAGAGTTGAGTTGCTTGTGTCATTGCATCAGAGACTATATGGACACACAAAGTCAAAAATATTTATTATTTAGCTCTTTACAGAAAGTTTGTTGACCCCTTCTCTATACAATTCTGCCTCTCCTTTAAGCTTTAATTCCACACCTGTGAGTGCTTGTTGGACATAGTAAACAGCTCTACTTGGATTTTATTTTAACGGTTTAAGACACCCTTTTCATTCCTTTTTTTTTTAAAGATGACCGGTAAGGGGATCTTAACTCTTGACTTGGTCTTGTCAGCACCACACTCTCCCAAGTGAGCCACGGGCCAGCCCCGACACCCTTTTTATTCTGTTCACCAGTGAGGAATTAGGATAGGGCATAGTTGGTATGGTTTGTTCCCTCCCTGATGTGTAGGGCCTCAGCTGGGAAGTCTTGGCATCTGAGGCTAAAATCTAGAATAGGAGTCAAAACTAGGGCCCTCCTTGGGCCGCCCTGTGGCTCACTCGGGAGAGTGTGGTGCTGATAACACCAAGGCCACGGGTTCGGATCCTATATAGGGATGGCTGGTTCGCTCACTGGCTGAGTGTGGTGCTGACAACAGCAAGCCAAGGGTTGAGATCCCCTTACCGCCCATCTTTAAAAAAAAAAAAAAAAAAAAAAACTAGGGCCCTCCACCTGTCTTTGTAAATGAAATTTTATGGACCACAGCAACATCCATTTATCTTTTTCTATGGCTGCTTTATCACTGTAAAAGCAGTTAGAGTTTCAACAGATACTGTATGGCCTGCAAAGCCTAAGATACTTAACTCTCTGGCTTTTCTTTTACAGAAAAGTTTGCCAACCCCTGATCTAGAGGTATCTTCACTCACTTATCTGGCAGTTGATGTTGATCAGAGTACTTACGTGTGGTCTCTCCATGTAGCCTGGGCTTCTTCACAGCATGGCAGTCTTGGGGTAGCTAGATTTTGTACATGGCAGCTCAGAGCACCAAAAGCAATGTCTGAGAGAAAAAGGAGGAAGTTAAAACACCCTTTCTGACCTAGCTTTAGAAATCATACACTGTCACTTGTGCCATATTCTCTTGGTTACAAGTAAGTCACAAGCCCATCCAGATTCAGGGGGAGGGGACTTAGATCCTCAACTCTCATTTTTTAAAACTGCCACAGAATTCTAACTAGTATCAGAAATTCAACGTGTGATCTTACCACAAACCAAATGCTTCATTACTTTTTTCTTTGTTTTTTATTATTTTATTTTATTTTATTGATCCTTCTTCAAATTTTTGTCTTTTGTTCAGAGTACCATCATTATTTCACTTGTCCAGGCTTGAAAACTTAATCATCCCTGTTTTCTTATTACATCCAAATCCACTTGCCACGATTTCTTTCTTTTTTTGTTTTTACCTTTTGTTTTTTGTTTTTTGTTTTTTTTTAAAGATGACTGGTAAGGGGATCTTAACCCTTGACTTGGTGTTGTCAGCACCACACTCACCCAGTGAGCAAACCGGCCATCCCAATGTGGTATCCGAACCTGTGGCCTTGGTGTTATCAGCACCGCACTCTCCCGAGTGAGCCACGGGCCGGCCCTGTTTTTACCTTTTGGATGTTTCTTTTATTCTCACTATCATCACCAGACTTACCTTATCCTCACCCCTGAACCATTGTAGTAGCACCTGAAATGCAGTCTCTGTACGTTGGTCTCTTCCAACCCATAGGGTACTGTACCATGCAGAATAATGTAAATATGCATTTTAATCTGTGGTTTTCATCAAATTCTCAATGGGCCTATTACCCAAAAAAAGTTTGACAACCATTTGTTGGGAGTCCCCGAGACTACCCCCATATTTGGAGATTCATGAGAAGGACTTAGCATATAAGGTATGTTGTGGCTAAGGTTTATTACAGTGAGAGGATACTCAATAGGATCAGCAAGGGAAAAAGACACAGTAGAAGTCTGGAAAAATCCATGCACAGGCTTCCTTACGTTCTCTCCTTCCTGTGAAGAGATACACCAAGCACATTCCTTTCAATAGCAATGAAAAGTGTAGTAATGTGTGCAGTGTTTCTGCCCAGGGAAACCCATTAGAGACTCTGGGCCCAAGATTTTTACTGGTGGCTGGTCATGTAGGCAGTCTCTGCCCAGGAAGTACCAAAATTCCAGACTCCCAGAAGGAAAGCCAGTGTTCAGCATAAACTTCATTGTGTGCACAAATAGACTAGGCAGAGTAAACCACACTTATCAGTTAGGGAAAGATGGGAACACTCTCAGAAATCTTAAGTTTTGAAGTGCTAACTGAGGGCCAATTTTGTAAGCAGGCCCTTATAAAAATAGCATCCTCAGGACTGCTGTGAATGCTTCTGCACCAAACGACTCCTCTGCACATTCCTGACATGGCCTCTTTGCTCATCTGATTTCTTTCTTTCTTTCTTTCTTTTTTTTTTTTAAAAAGATGACCGGTAAGGGGATCTTAACCCTTGACTTGGTGTTGTCAGCACCACGCTCAGCCAGTGAGCGAACTGGCCATCCCTATATGGGATCCGAACCCGGGGCCTTGGTGTTATCAGCACCACACTCTCCCGAGTGAGCCACGGGCCGGCCCTGCTCATCTGATTTCATATCTGATGTTCTCTCCCATTTCTTCTCTGTCTGAATCCTGTATCTCTTGTGGAATCCAGTTCAAGAACAACCCCTCTCCATCCTCCTCCTCCTGCTGCTGCTGATAAGGAGCTGTTACAACTTCTTTGTTCCATCTCTCACAGATCACTCTCCACTGAACTCCTTTGACACTCATATATATCACATATCTGGTCCTTAGCTATAGTACCTTATATTATTACTTAATTTTTTTTTTCCTTTTTGTCTTTTTTACTGACCAGTAACGGGATCGCAACCCTCGGTGTCGCACCCGTACCGGTGACCGGCAACGGAATCACAACCCTCGGTGTTGCGCCCGCACCGTGCTCAGCCAGTGAGCGGGAACCGGTCTCCACGGGATCCGAACCCTCGGCGGGAGCGCCACCGTGCTCCCAAGTGGCGCACTCTCCAGTGCGCCACCGGGCCGGCCCCTATTACTTAATATTTTTATGCTATTTGTCCTCAAATGTTGAATTACAAGCCCTTTAAGGTCAAGCACTCTTTTTGTGTGGCCTCATAGCACTCTGTGCATCTTTTAATCATAGCATGTACCTCATTGTATTATGGTTGTCTGTAACGTATGCTTCTTGAGAGCTGGGACCATATGAAGTACAGGGCCTAAAACTGTCTCTCCCATAGCAGGCACTAATTAAAAGTTTACAGGAACTAAACCTCTTTGTATCCCCCACCCTTCCCAAGCAAAATATCTTACATTTTAGTAAATATGATTGCTACAGTGCTCAAGTTACCTGCATCATGATAAATTAAAATTATTTTCAAGTAGACTTTTAATAATCTTGTACTTTTTACTTCAGTACTAATAATAATGTAATGCATATGCTAAATTTGGTTTTCTAAATTTCATTATGATCTCCTCACTAGATCTTAACCTTTTTTCTGTGGCAGGGCTCAGATTCATCTGAGCGTGTCATTGCTCCCATGAGATGGGGCCTGGTCCCATCTTGGTTCAAAGAAGATCATCCTTCCAAGCTGCAGTTCAGCACTACCAATTGTCGTAGTGATACCATGATGGAGAAACGGTCATTCAAGGTAGGTAGCTGGTCTAGGGAAAAGGCACATACTTAATTCTTTTTTCTAACAGAGCTATTAGAGTCTTGTGTACCTGAGAAATAAAATAAGGTTCCAGAGTATTCCCAGTTGTTAATGTTGAGTGCTATTCTATGACTGTGTACAAGCCATGCCATAACTTAGTGATTAAAAACAAAATAGCAAACATTATCTCTCACATTCTGGGTTGACTGGGCTCAAGTAGATAGTTTTCATTTGGAGGTTCTCTTGCAGTTGTAATCAGATGGCAGCTAGGGCTAGATGTCCAAGATGGCTTCTTTACCCATGTCTGATACCTCAGCTGGAATGGCTAGAGTAACTGGAGGCCTTTCCACATGCCTAGCTTGGGGGTGTACGGTTAGTAAGGCTTCTGACATGGCTACTCATATACCACAGAACTCATGACCCAAGAGAGCAGGACAGAAGCTATAAAGCTTTGTGACCTAGCCTTGGCAGTCATACAGCAAAACTTCTGCTCCATTCTGTTGGTTATACAGAGCCAGTTCAAATTCATTATGGGAGGGGACTACATCAGTTGTGGATACTGGGAAGGATGGTTCATTGGGGAGCCAACTTTGGAGACTAGCTACCACAGGTACCTATTAGAAAAGAGTTGGTTGCTTTTATGTACTTTACTCATTCATTCATTTATTCATTCATTTTGTGGCTGGCCAGTCTGGGGATCTGAACCCTTGTACATTATTTAATCTTTTCAACATCTGAGTGTGACTTTCTTTATACATAAGAAAAGTGAGATACAAAGAAATTAAATCACTGCTCTACAATCACACATTGGTAGACCTGTGATTTTAACTCAAGTCCATGTAATGGCAGCCTATGAAATGGTTGTATCACTAAGACTATATCTTGCTTACATTTTTCCCTCAGGTACCTCTGGGAAAGGGAAGACGCTGTGTCATTTTAGCAGATGGATTCTATGAGTGGCAGCGATGTCAGGGAATAAGCCAGAAGCAGCCATACTTCATCTATTTCCCCCAAATCAAGACAGAGAAGGTATCATCATCAACACAGTGTATATTTGGAAAGGTAACAGGGAAGGAATCCAAAGAAGTGCATTTTTTTCTTCCTTCATTGGCTTGGTTTTTTCAAATACCATCTTTATTGAGATATCATTTACCATAAAATTAACCTTTTAAAAGTGTGCAAATCAGTGATATTTCAGCATATTCAAGTTTGTGCAACCATTACCACTCTCTCATTTTAGAACATTTTCATCACCCCAAAAAGAAACTCCATATCCATTAGCCGTCAATCTCTATTCTGCACTCCCCCCCAGCCCCTGGCAACCACTAATCTACTTTCTGTCTCTATAGATTTGCCTGTTTTGGACTTTTCGTTAAGAATGGAATCATACAATATATGGTCTTTTATGACTGGCTTCTTTTACTTAGTATTTTTTTTTTTTGTTTTTTTGGCAGCCTACCAGTATAGGCATTGGACCCTGGACCTTGGTGTTATCAGCACCACGCTCTAACCAACTGAGCTAACTGGCCAGCCCCCTCACTTAGTATAATGTTTTCAAGGTTTATCCATATTTGACATGGATCAGTACTAAATTCTTATTTGTGGCTGAATTATAGTCCATTGTATGGATAAACCACATTTTGTTTATTCGTTCATCAGTTCATAGACACTTGGATTGTTTACACTTTTTGGCTATTATGAATAATGCTGCTATGAACATTCATGTGCAAGTTTTTGTGTGGATATATGTTTTCATTTCTCTTAAGATATATACCAAGGAGTGGAATTGCAAGGTCATATGGTAATGCTGTGTTTAACATTTCCCTCATAGAACTTTCATTTTAAGACACATAATTCAAACTGTTCACATTAAAACATTATCAGGAGATTGAAAACAAATCAGACATGCCAACAGCATGTTTTCTTCTAATTAGATTTATTAGTCTGACACTGCTAAAACATTTGTGTTCTCACTGTAATTTGGTTTATAAAAACTGGGAATTATTTGTTCTTCAGATGTCCTCTCATTTTGGGGACTTGTCATAGTCAAGAGGGTTTGCTTCACTCTTAGAATATCCCCTATCTATCCAATCTAGTAACACACATGATTTGGTAGAAGATAAGATTGTTTAATCTGCAAGTTGATATAATGATAATAATTAATGATTATAATTAATAAATGATAATAATTAACAAATACTAAGTGGGCCAGGTACTCTGTCTAGGAACTTAATTTGTATTAAATTAATACATATTAATTATTTAGTACTTTTTTTCAATTTTTTGTTGAAGTTAATTGATTATACATACTTGTGGGGTACCGAGTTGACTGTCAATACTTGTGTACAATATGTGATGGTCAAATCAGGATAATTAGCTTATTTGTCATTACAATACATAATCATTCTTTGTATCCATTAACCAATTTCTGACCACTCTCTCCCTCCCCTTAATTATTTAGTACTTCTAATAACTCGTGAAGAAAGTACTGGTATTCTCATTTTACAAATGAAGAAACTGAGACACGGAGAGGAAATGTAAAAACTGTCTTGTTCTCTGAGACTCTTATTTTTATTTTACCTAATGACCATTCATTCACTATACAACAGTTATTGAAGTCCTTGCTTCTGGGTGGTATGGGCAAGAAACAGAAATTTGTATTATTTTATAGTAAAAAACCAGTGTAAAGAGTGATCATATTAGGTATTGGGGAAAGAACTAGAATTAGAATGTTTAAGTCTGGTGACTCCTTGATTTAGTGCTTTAACATGGATGAGCAGCATGGAATCTTTTTGGCCCTAGTGGTTAATAGGTGAATCCTTAATGTGGTTGGTCATTAATATTCTGTCTCTTGTGTTGCTTTGGAGTAAAGATTCTTGGTTTGTCTGGAAGCAGTCACATGGCTGCTGCAGTGCTTCATCGGAAGATTATCGATTGTTTTTCCCCCTTAAGAGCTTTTCTGTACTCATGAGCAGTTCCACCATGAGTAAAGGGTACTAGCTAAGGTGGAGGCCTGAGAGGAGATTAAGTTATCTGACAGGAGTAAATGCCAGTTCAATGATGTTCATGCTATCTCTCATTTTCCCTTAATTCCAGGATGCTACCTTTGTTTCTGTTCAGGTTATTTTTTTGTGATTAAAAAATTTTTATTGGGAAAAAAATTCACATAATATAAAAGTCAGCATTTTAAAGTATACAATCCAGGACTTTTAGTATATTCACCCTAACCATCCCCACTATCTAATTCTAGAACATTTTCATCACCCCATAACCATGAAGCAGTTCCTTTCCATTTTCCCTTTCCTCCAGCCTCTGGCAATCTCCAATCTGCTCTCCGTGTCTACACACTTGTCTGTCCTAGATGTTCTTGTAAATGGAATCATTTTACTTGTCTTGTAAACATTTTACTTATCTTGTAAATGGAATCATATGTTTTTGTTTTTGTTTGGTGGCTGACTGGTATGGGGAACTTGACCTTGGTGTTATAAGGCTGTGCTCTAACCAGTTTTCTAAGAACCTTTCAATTAATTTTTTTTGGGGGGTGGCTGGCCAGTATGGGGATCTGAATCCATGACCTTGGTGTTATAAGGCTGTGCTCTAACCAACTGAGCTTACCGGCCAGTCCCATACAATATTTGTCTTTTATGTATCTGGCCCCTTAGCATAATGTTTTCAAAATTCATACATTCGCCATGAGTACTTTGTTTCTTCCATTTTGTTGACAAATAATATTTCATTGTATGGATATATAAAATTTTATTTACCTATTAGTTGTTGGACATTTGGGTTGTTTCCACTTTTTGGCTGTTATGAATAATGCTGCTATGAACATTGGTATGCAGGTATCTGTGTGAGTCACTGTTTTCAATTCTTGTTTCATTCCTACCCATAGTATATGAGAGTTCTAGTTTCTCCATCCCTGCCAACACTTGTTTTCTGTTTGTTTTTTTAAATTATTACAGCCATCTTATTGGGTATGAAGTGGTATCTCATTGTGGTTTTGATTTGCATTTCCCCGATGATTCATGGTGTTGAGCATCTTTTCATGTGCTTATTGATGAGTTGCATATTTTCTTTGTAGAAATGTCTATTCAATCCTTTGCCCATTTTTAAATTGAGTTGCTTGTCTATTTATTGTTGAGTTGTAAGACTTCTTCAGGGGCCGGCCCGGTGTCGCACTGCTACAGTGCGCCGCTTGGGAAGCGTGATGGCTCTCCCGCCGAGGGTTCGGATCCCACATACAGACCGGCCGCTCACTGGCTGAGCAAGGTGCGGGAGCAACACCGAGGGTTGCGATCCCGTAGCCGGTCCCGGTCCGGTACGGGTGCGACACTGAGGGTTGCGATCCGTTGCCGGTCACGAAAAAAGACAAAAAGGAAAAAAAAAAAAAAAGACTTCTTCATATAGTCTGGATGCTAGACCCTTACTACATATATAAGCTGCAAATATTTTTTCCCATTCTGTGGATTCTTTTCACTTTTCTTGGCAGTGTCCTTTAAAGCACAAAAGTTTTTGAATTTGATTAAGTCTATTTTTTGATTTAGTTTAGATTAAGTCTATTTGATTTATCTATTTTTTCCTTTATTGTTTGAGCCTTTGGTATCATATCTAGGAATCCATCGTGAAAACCAAGGTTATACCCCTGTTTTCTTCTAAGGGCTTTCTAGCTCTAGCTTTATAATTAGGTCTTTGATTCATTTGAGTTAGTTTTTGTATGTGGTATGAGGTAGGGGTCCAACTTCATTCTTTTGCATGTGGTGATCTGGTTGGCCTAATATCGCTTGTTAAAAAGACTATTCTGTCCCCATTGAGTGGGTGTGGCACCCTTGTCAAAATTAGTTTACTGTAGATGTGTGGGGTTATTTCTGAGTTCTCGATTCTATTCATTGATCTAAATGTCTATTCTGTTTTTGGTTTTTTTTGTGGGGAGGCAGCTGGCTGGTGTGAGATCTGAACGCTTGCTCTAACCAACTGAGCTAACAGGCTGGCTATTCTTATGCAGTACTCCATGGTAGCTTTATAATAACTTTTTTTTTTTTTTTTTTTTTTTTTTTGTCTTTTTCTGTGTCCGGCAACAACCCTCAGTGTCGCGCCCATACCGGACCGGGACTGGCAACGGGATCGCAATCCTCGGTGTTGCGCCCTCACCTTGCTCAGCCAGTGAGCGGCCGGTCTGTATGTGGGATCCGAACCCTCGGCGGGAGCGCCGCCACGCTCCCAAGCGGCACACTGTAGCAGTGTGCCACCGGGCTGGCCCTAACTTTTTTTTTTTTTTAATAGCTTTTGAAATAGGGAAGTGTGAGTCTTTCAACTTTGTTCTTTTTCAAGATTGCTTTGTCTATTCAGGTTTCCTTGCAATTCTGTATGAATTTTAGGATCAGCTTGTCTATTTCTGTAAAAAGAGGTAGTTGGAATTTTGATAGGAATTGCATTGAATCTATAGATCAATTTAGAGAGTATTGCCATCTTATCGATATTAAGTCTTCCAATCCGTGAATACAGGGTATATTTCCATTATTTAGGTCTTTAATTTCTTTCAATGATTTTTTATAGTTTTCAGTGTGCAAGTCTTGCACCTCCATGATTAAATACATTCCTATTAGTATTGAATAATACTTTTACCTCTTCAGGGACAAAGCAGGGACCTTAGAAAACTTTATCCTCCAGGTCAATATATACAAATCAAAAATATTTCTATATTCTAGCAGCAAACAGTTGGAAATGTTTGTAAGCTGTTAGAAATAATCCAGGAGAGATCAGGGAGAAAGTATAAGTCACTGGAGGGATGTCCTTACATAGGTGAGAGAGAATGGGATTTAGTGCACAGGTGCACAGGTGGAGAAGTTGTCCTAGCAAAAAGTATAGGCCATTAGAAACTGGAGGTAAGGAAAAAAAAAAAAAAAACTGGAGGCCATTAGAAACTAGAGTACAGATACTGGTAGGTAGGTAGGGTGATGCATTGATGGAAAGAATGTAGGGGTTCTCTTTCCAGAGCTTCTATTTCATCAGAGAAGTATGAAATGAAGTCATCAGCTGAGGGCAAGGATGGAGAGGAAGTGTTG